TCTGCCTCGGATCCTTCAGCCTTCCAGCATCGGCTCCTTGGCCTTCTGTCCCAGACCCATCGGCCTCCTGGTACAGACTTGCATGGAATGAGGCAGTGAGCTCCAGACCTTGGACTGAATCCTCCAGCCTCCAGTGTGCAGACGCCTTCTGCACGCTTCCTCATCTGACTCTGGCTGACTGTGGAAGGTCAGTCTTGGAGTTTCTTATACACTTGTACATCTTGTGTTATATCTGTTTCTCTAGTAAAACTCTGACTGATACAGATGGCATTTAGTGTTGTCAGATTGCTGAGATCACCACTGAGAGGAGACCACAAAGATGTCCAGGGATTGAGTCTTGGAAATGTCAGTGTTCAGAAATTCAAGAGTAAAAAGGCCAGAAAGGTGTGAGAAGTCTCCATCCAGAGGTCGGGACAGTGATTTCAGGATGAACCTACTCAGCACTGCCCCTGCTGCCTATGGGTCCAGCCAGGTGAGGATGGCATTGGAGCACTGGGTTCATCCTATTAGTGACAAGGCTGTCATTGATGCTTCAGAGAAGCCCTGTTTCCATGGAGTAGTGAGGTGAAAGTTGCTCAGAATGGATGCAGGAGAACAGAAGAAGATGCACTGAGGACAAGTGTGGAAAAGCCTTCTGAAGACTGCTGTGAAGTGCAGCACAAGCAGCAGATGTAAAATCTAGGAAGTGTTTCACCTTGACTCTGGCAGATATTGCAGCATGCCTGTAAACTTCTGAACTAATTCAGCAGAGAGGGAAAATGTGCTGATTGATGCAGGACAGAATGGAGAGCTGCTGAATCCATGTCTCTAAGCTAGAAGAGATAGGACTGATACACAGAGCAAGAGGTTAGTCTTAACTAAGAGTACCCAGAATTCATCGTACGTGACAGAAGTGGGGTGTGTGCAGAGGTGTAGGTTGGCAGACAGTGTTGATTAGGGTGTGTAGGTTGAGTTTTCCTCTGATTGCGTCTATTTTGCCAGTGAAAGAAGCAAGACCATGATAAGGTTGGATGGAGGAGGAGATGTGAATTGACCTTTTATTTAATTTTTATTTTTATTTTATTTATTTATTTTTTTTTTGTGGAACCGGGGGTTGAACTCAGATCCTTGTGCTTGCCAGGCAAGCACTTATTCTACTGAGCCATGTCCCCGGCCCCTTATTTTTATTTTTTAAATGTGTTTAGTACAGGAACTACAGGGTCTCATTACACAGATCAGACTTATAGTGATTCTCCCGTTTTCAGCCTCCCGAGCACTGGGATTACAGGTGCGCACCACCACGCTCAGTCCCAATCGTCCTCTCAATTTGTGCGGGGGGAGGGGTGCAGCGCTGCATACTGGGGATTGAACTCCAGCCACTGCCCTCTACCTAAGCAGGTGCTTTAGTCCACTGAGCTATCCGGCCAGCCCTGACCCTTTGAAGAACAGGAGAGTGAAAAGAGAAGTGTAATAGGTAACCTGCAATTTCATGACCTGGGATATTTAAATTTGTAAGGAACACTTTTACGCAGATGGGAGACTAGGTAAGGAATCTCTTGTTCTTGTGTAGTTATACCATCTAGGGCTAAGACAATAAAATTGTAACATTTAAACAACATTGGCTATTCCTTAATGTTGGGTAATGCTAAGGGCACTTTGGACCTCTCAAGGGTTCAGAGTATCAGCTGGCAGTCCAGAAGTAATAATAGGAAGCTCTGAGCTGAAGGACGATAGGTGGGATAAATCAGACTTCGACTGTAAAGCACGCAAATATAAATCATTTATAACATTAAAAAATCTACAAAATCTCCTCGCTTGGAAAGCTTTTATGTCAAATTCAACGTTTGATGTATGAGGGTGTTTTGTTGAGAAGAGAACAACCAGTGCGAGGCAAACTGCGCTGTAGTAAACGGAAGAAAATAGGGAGGGAGTAGACACCTTTATCAGCACAAAAAGTTACAGAACCTCCCTCTGGATGTGCGAGTCTGGGGGAGGGGTTGAGCAGCCAAGAAGAGGAGCCAAGAGAGGAGGAGGAAGGAGGCGCTCTAATCTGTGTGTGGCCAACTACTTTCTCTTGCTGTCTTCTGCTGTACTTGCTTCTACCCTGGACCCCAGGGAAGGCATGGTGGGGCTGATTGACCCGGACAAGCCGCAGTTAGAAAACTCAGCTTTGGCGGATCTCACGTTTGGTCGCCTTTGGAACCACCCAGGGAAGTCCTGCCCTCAGTGAAGGCTACACAAGTAGCCCAAGACCTGGAGAGAGCAATTTTATACCCCTCGGATAATTGCTACCATTCTATGACTGAAGATTAGGGAGCTTGTCTTTGTAATTTGCTGCTATTGGATTCCAAAATCTAACAGTCATCTTGTGGGGCTTCTAGAAAGCACTGAAGAAAGTTAATAGAGCTGGCCAGCACTTGGGCTAATTGTTTCAATGGCTATCTGGAAGCCATACAGCAGGGGGCCTTGAAATTGTCCTGGTGGTGGATTCAGATTGGTAGCTACCCTTTCAGGGCAAAACCATAACAGCTGATTTGTAACAGGAAGCTACAGTCAGAAGCACTGATCCTTAAAACTGGTTCATATGTAATATTCCACTTGTTCCTTTGTAGATACGTGCTATTAAACATTCCACCCTATAAACCCAATGCCACTCCTCCCTCCCTCCCTCCCTCCCTCCCTCCCCTTCCTTATCACCATTATCATGGTGGAGGTGTTGTATGTGTTGTTTGGATCGTTGGTTTGGATCATTAGCATATTTATTAAATAACAAGGCATCTGTTTTGAGTTAGCGTAACAACAGACCATGAGCAATGGATTCCTCTTGAAACTACTGTACCACAGTTAATACTTTTGTTGTTTTTGTAGTTGAGACAAGACAAACTTTAAAATTCTCAACAAGTTAAAAAAAAGTCAGCACATAGATAAACAACGAAAAACGACCTACTATAAAACAAAACACTCATTTGGTTTTTGTTTGATATAATCTGTTATTTGCTGGAAATTTTTATAGGTCTGAGAGTTATAAATCTTGAAAGCTTTAGTAGCTTAGCATGTGGGCCACCTCCTAGTTTTACAGATGAAGAAACAGATACAAGACTTCTCAAGAAAACACAACTATTAGTGGCGCAGAACTCAGATTCTATAGTTTCCTGACTTTACTGGTTTTTATTCTCATACACTTAAATGTGTAATATAAAAACCTTCATTGCCTAAGCTTCAGGCTTGCAAACAGCTATTACGAGTCTGAACTGCTTACACTTCTTTTTTCCTCATTTATTTATTTGGTGCTGGGTCTTGCTACATAGCTCAGACTCGTAGTGATCCTCCTGTCTCAGCCTCCCCAGAGCTGGGATTATGGGCGTGTGCCATCACACCCCATTTCGGTGCTGGTCAGGTACAGCCTGGGTTCTGGCTGCAGTACCCGGGATCGAACCTTGTGCTTGCTCACCAGGTGCTTAGACTGCCCAGCTATCTCCCTAGCCCGAGCTACTATTCAGGTGCTTAGATTTTAAATTTCTATTTCTATGGAATTGAGTTCAATTGTAGCTTTCCCCTATTGATGTATAGGGATGAATGTGTAGTTTATATTGAGATATAATTCAAATTCCGTGGGCTGTATTTTGACACATGCCTTTTGAAATCTAAAGTTTAAGCTCAGCTTCTATGAAGAGGACCCATTTTACTTGGGCCATAGATATATGCCGTCTCAGGAAAGTCTTTACAACATAAACAATGCGAAGAGAGGATTTCATCTTCAACCTTAATAACTGCAATAGATATAAAGGCGTCTCAAGACGTTTAAATTTTTTTTCAAATGCTTTCTTTTCTGCTGCCCTCCCCTGAGGTGGACAGGGTTTTAATGAGACAAACATGGAGAAAGCAGGGATTCTAACCGCTGAAAAGAAAGAGAAAGTGGGAGTATATATAAGAAGATAGTGAAGAGTCAAAAATCTGACCGCGGGGCAGAGACGTCCACACTAAGCCTAGATCCTGGGCAGGGTGGGACTAAGGGCGGCGCGCAGGACTTGAGACCTGAGTCCCGGCAGCTCAGCGCCGTGTGCCAAGCTGGGGCAGGCGCCCAGAGCCCGCGACCAAGCAGCGCGCTGCAGGAGCCCCGGCGGGAGCGGCGCGTGTGCGGGAGCCGCAGGGAGGAAGGGGGCGGTGCGGTTCGCTGTGTGGAGCTGGGAATGAACTGGCAGATGAACTGAGTGTGTGGTGCAAATTTGGAAGCATAGCGACGTGCTGGCTTCCGCGGCCCCAGAACGTCTTTAAAAATTAGCCTCATTTGTCAAATGCGGCCGGATACTATCACGAACCCTCTCGAATAGGTTTTAAAAAATCCTCCTTCCGCTCGCTCACAGCCCTCGCCTTCCCCGCCGCCAGGGTGTCGGGCAGGAGAGGGGGGCAGGTGAAAGCTGCACCCACATTTGCAGCCTCGGTTCTCCGCGGGGGCCGGCAATCCAGGGCTTTGCCGTCGTCATGGCAACCAGGAGTTCCAATGCTCCCCCGCCCTCCTCCCGCTGCTTCCTCTGCTCCCAGCCAGCGGGCCAAGCGATCGCTGGTCTCGCGAGATTTGCGCGCAGCCCTGAGCAGCCCCGCGGTGATCTCACCCGAGACTCGGCGGGGAGGGAGTGAGGGAGGGAGCGGGGGAGGGCGGGGACGGCATGGGGCGGAGGGGCGGGAGGTGGGAGGCGGGGACGGGCGCAGCGGGGCGAGCGCAGCGCCGCCGCGGCCGGCAACTTTGTGAGCGAGTTCAGTGCGCGCGTGAGCGAGTGAGCGGAAAGTCCGCGCGCCGGGCCGGGAGGAGGGTCCCGGGAGGGCCAGGCGGGCCGCGGC